GCTCCTGCCCTCCACCTCCCTGGGAATGGCTCTCTCCCGACGCCACGCATACTCCCCTCCAACCCCTAATTGGCGACAGGATTGCTTTCAGCCCACACGGAGAGCTCAAAAGGAAGCATCCGAATCATGATATTTAATATTGTTATTATATAGTCTATAGCACTTCCTGCCACACCTGGCATTGTTCCATGCACACCTTTATCTCATTTCATCCTCGCCTAATGCAGCCTAATGAGGTAAGTGCTAGTATTATCCCCATTTCACAGATAAGAAACGAAAAAGCGGAGAGGTAGGCTGTCAGGTCCAGCGGGAACAGTGTCTCCTGGGAGGGCTGCACCGGGAAGAGCTGGGGGGACTGTTCTCAGAGGCGGGGGCAGGGCCACAGGGCCCCACAGGGATGCCCTGGGACTAACAGCAAGCAGCCACTGCCCCGCAGCACAGCGGGAGGAGGGGGAGGAGGCGAGAGCAACGTGACTGAGACACAGTGGAAGCCCCGAAAGGGCACCCATACCCTGACCTTTCTCCGCCCCCCCCCCCAACCATCCCACCTTCCCTGCCCTCTGATTTCCTAGCCGCGCCTCCCACACGCCAAACCCAACTAGAAATACAGCCCGTAGACGTTAGCCTCCTGGGGCACAGAGCAGGCTGGCGAAGGACTGGTTTGGAACAGAGGTGATCTGGGCCCAGAGACCTGCCCCCTGAGATGTTGTGAAGTGCCCCCCCCCCGGAAAGGGGGGTGAGAGGAGCCAGGTCGGGGACAGAAGACTGAATTGTAGTCCAAGGTCTGCTGCCCTGCTCTGTGGCCCTGAATGAGACTCTGGGCCTCAGTTTCCCCTTTACACGAAGAGGAGGTGTCCCACTCTGGGGCAGCCACGGTGCCCAGACCAGACGGAGCCTGTGTGCCCGCTGCCCACCTCAAATGCACCCGCACCAAAGGCTGAGGCCCCAGCGTGGAGCCTCGCAGTCCTAGAGGAAGCCATTCCGGTGCCGGGCAGACACACCCGCTCCTCTGCCTGCCTCGGGTCTCAGAGTTGTCCCAGGCAAGCTCCTTCGGGCTCCCTGAGGGCCCAGCTCCTCCGTCTCTCCTCCCTCTGTGCTGCCAGCATTCCCTGGCACCCAACTCAGAGCCCCACCCAGGACGGGCTCCCTCCTCCCCAGGAGGAGGTGCAGGACCCTGCCCAGGCCAGCACCCCCAGAGACCCCTCATCGGGCACCCAGGGCGTCTCTGACCACAGAGATCTGTGTGCCGGTGGAGTATTCTCTTCTCTCCCCTTCCCACCCCACCCAGCTGTACTCCACCCAAGCTTCCCCAAGCCTGGGGGGCGCCCCACCCAGGTTTTCAGACAAACAAAAATCAAGGAGAAAGAGTTAGTGAGAAGAGGAGGCAGCTCATTACCAAAAATTAAGGAGGTGGCATGCCCTGGAGGAAGATGAGCGGGACTGGCCTGGCAGGTACGCAGAGATGGGCTCCAAGGTACACAAGACATTTGCTTGTGAGAACACAGGGCCAGACCCAGACACAGAGACAGGCGGAGACAGAGGCAGAGGCACACAGGCCCACAGAGACAGCCAGACACCCTGAGAGGGACACCCGCAGCCTCAGCCACCCTGGGACATGCACTGGTCTGCGCTCACACCGAGGCAGGCGCTCAGGGAGACAGGAGCCAAGCTCAGGCTGAGGGAGACGGGTTCCAACCCAAACAAGTGAGAGCGTTAGGGAAACACGGCTCCTCCAGCGAGGGCCGTGGGAAGGACTCAGCTCGGGAAGGAAGGACAGAGACCGGGGGCGTGGGAGCTGTCCAGCCCCCTCCCCCCACCCCCACCACAGGGTGATTCTCCTCCCAAGTCCACCTTGGAGAATGGACTAAGATGCCTTCCTAAAGGAAATGGGAGAGCTTTCTTTCTGGAATGTGCTATCAGCCAGAGTGGCTAATCAGGGGCATCGCCGCCGGGAAGTGTGTGGGGAGGTGGGAAGCTTTCCTCCTGGCGCTGGCACTCCCTGCCACTTGGCTCGGGTCCCTCCCAGCCCCGGCCCTACCTCACTACTCCTGGCCAGGCCTCACCCTTTCTCATACCAACCGATCCTCCATCCAGCATGTCCCCTTGGCTGCGTGCTCTTCTGCCCTCCACACCCGTGTGTGTGGCCCCCTCTTAGGTCTCCCTTCAACCTCACCCCAAAGGCCTCCTCTGGTCCGGGCACAGCAAAACCATCATCCCCACTCTTCTCCTCAACACCCTCCCTGCCTCCTTGCCCCCAGGAAATTCAGAATCTGTGAAGTGAATCCTATGCAGAAGAGGATGTTGTGAACTCAATGGCCTTCAAAAAACAGCTCTCAGCATCTCTCTTTCACCACCACCCTCCCCGCTCCCCCAGGTCTGCAGGGAAAAACCAGGAGGTGAGGTGACGTTTATTGACGATTCACCATCGGCTGGTCATTGTGCTAAGTCCTTTTTCATGAATTATCTTCCATTACTTCCTCCTCTCAACATCTCCCAACTCACAGGTGAGGAAACTGAAGTTCAGATGAGGTTCAGAGGGGAGAATGATCACCCCCGGGTCCCAGAAGAGAGAGAGAGAGAGAGAGAGAGAGAGAGAGAGAGAGAGAGAGAGAGGTGGGAGGGAGGGGCACGCTGGGCCTGGAATCCAGGCTTGACTACTTGCCTTAACCAGGTAAACTCCTTCCCCAGGCCTCCCCCCACCAGAAGGCCTCCCACCGCCGCCGCCTGAGCTGACGGGTCAAGGTGAACAGCAGGGTTTGAGGGAAAGGATGTGGGAAAGACAGGGGCATGCTGGGGAAGACAGCAGGTGGGGCCCAGCAACGTGGCTGGAACGAAACTCTGAAGCCACATGAGTTGCCCTTCCTCCCCCAGAGCCTGGGAAGGGGACACTCCCTCTGGCGTGCTTCCCTCCAGCATTCCATCCACTCCTCCTGCGAGCTGGGGACAAAGAGGGGTGGAGACCTGAGATGGAGCTGCCTCCTCCCACCCTACCCCCAGCGACCTCGCTGTGTGCCCCTGCGTGTGCCCCCCACCCTCTCTGGGCTCTGGGCTCCTCGTCGGTGAAGTGGTTGGGGAGTGAGGGCTGGCCTCGCCTCTCACACTCACAGTTCTCAGGCCAACAACAGGAACCCTCGGCGCCCCTGGGGTTAACTCTGCAGGAGGCTTGGGTTGAGGCCACCTTCCCTTTTATTCTCAGTGAAACTTGAGGACTTGGGTGAGGAAGGAGAAGGTGAGAAGGAGCATGTGATCACCTGCCAGAGCTTCCTGGATCCGGGGTGCCAGGCCCTTTGCCTTCCTGTGCCGTCGGGGGTCCCAGCCAGCGTCAGTCAGTCCAACCCCGGCCTCACATACTCGGATGTGCCTCAGTCTGGAGACCTGAACCGGGGGGAGGCCAGGATATGTGCAGCTTGGTCTCTGGGATCCGACAATTGGCCATAGAGGAGGATGGGAGAGTGGGGAATGGCTTCACAGAGAAGGAGGTATTAGAGCAGATCGGGAGGATTTTAGGGAGCGGACATCTCGGAGCAAAGGTCCGAGGTCAGGAGGGACAGGGGCACACAGAGAAGTCTGGGGTGGATGGAGCATTGTGAAGGGATGGCTGGGGCCGGGGCCAGGGGCCAGGTCTTGTGGGGGCGGGGGTGGTGGGAAGGGTTGGATTGTCCTGGACAGCGGGGAAAGCCATGGAAAGAGACCCACTTTCAGCAGGGGTTTCAGAACAACCCCTCTGGCTGCTGTGTAGACTGACGGGGCGGGGGCAGGCCCGGAGGCAGGGACGCGGCTGAGGGGCTGTGACCAGGCAGCGAGTGGATGTTGGCAGAGCCTGAACAGCTGCGCGCTGTAGAAGGCGATGTAGGATCCCAGTCTGATTGGCCTCCTCCAGCAACAGAGAGCTCACTATTACTTGGGTAGCCGTCCCCTCCTTAGGGCGGCTCTGCCCGGGAGAAAGTTGTCCCCGAGGCTAGGCTCCAGCCTCTCTTCCCAGGCTGATGGGGAGTGCAGGGATCAGGAAGGAGATGGACTCCCGGGAAGAGGGGAGAAAGTGCAGAACCGCTGAGTTCAGGCTGAGAGGACGGGACTCTCTGACCTGTCCGCGTGCTCCTCGCTGGGCATGCTGGCTATTTGGGTCCAGACACACGGACGCTCCTTAGCTGGCCCCAGGGAAACAGCGGGACCAGCAAACAAATGTTGACACCATGGGCAGTTTTAGGTATATTTTATTGTGGTTTGTTTTTTTTATATAAAAGGCAAAAGTACCTGTATTATTGAGTGGAGGATTAAAAGAGTAAAGACCCTATTTGGAGTAGAGTCTCCAACCCCTCTCCCCCTAAAACTAAGACATCTCCGCTATATTTTTTTTAAAAAAAAGAGAAAATATGAAACTTATGACCTGTACTTCACCCCACCTTCTCATGCCTACATCATGGCAAAAACACGTTATGCAGCTCCTACTTATATACAGTGAAAGGCTCATACCTGGGCTGTGGCCTCCTCCTCCCAGCCCCGCCCATATCCCCAGCATACCGTCCCCAAAGCCACCCTGAGCCCCTGCTTGGAAAACAGGACACACACACACACACACCACACAGAAACATATCTGGACCCTCCTCCACCTGCAGCCCCTAAAACACGCTGACACTCTCCTCACTCACCACCACCCCCTTCCACTCCCCACACAGCTAAAATCCTTCCACTTGGTCCTTTGCCCTGAATATCTGGGAACACACACACACACACACTCACATACCCGCTGCCCATTCCCTCCCGTGGGGAGACAAAGTTCTGTTGGCCCTACACTCTGTCCATCACAGCTTAAGGACAGTGGCCTGAGGTCCTACGTGGGCAGGGTCCAGTGGGAAATCCTGGAGGGACCGTCCAGAGGGGTGGGGGCAGACAAGGAGCTTCTCAGCCTGGAGGGGGGTTGTGAGGGGGGCTTCCAGGGAGCAGCCCCTGCACAGTCCGTGGATGCTCCAGGGAGAGGGGCAGGGGGCGGCCCTGCCCACTCAGACCTGCTCCTTGTGCTTCACGTGGGCCAGCTTGACGTTCTCCTGCTCGGTGGAGGGTGGCGGCTGCTCCAGGTGGCAGCCGATCATGACCTGGTACACGAAGACGCCCGCGATGGAGCCCAGGAGCGGGGAGACGATGGGCACCCACCACCACTGGCGGCCGGTCCTGGGGGGGGCAGAGCATGTAGTGTTAGAGGCGGGTGGGGCCGGCAGAGGGAAGGCAGGCTGAGGCTGGCTGGCTGGCTGGCTGGCTGGGGGTGGCACTCACGTGAACACCTCCGAGCCCCAGCCGGCGATGGCGGTGAAGAGGCGGGGGCCGAAGTCCCGGGCGGGGTTGACAGCGTAGCCGGAGTTGAAGCCCATGGAGGTGCCGATGACCAGAACCACCAGGCCCACGGTGAAGGCCTCCAGGCCCCGGGGGACGGGGTTGTTGTAGGGGTCCACAATGGCCAGCACGCACACGATGAGGGAGGCGGTGCCGATGAACTGGCGGGCAGGGGGAGCAGGGTGAGGATTGCCCACCCCACCCCCCGCCCCACCCTCCGACCCCTCCTCTGGGCCTCTGGCTTCCCTCCAGCTCTTAGTCTTGTCAGGGCCCGCTTTCTCCTCGATGGGACCGGGGCGCTGGGATTTTTTTCAAGGATAAGAATCCTCTGGGGCCGAAACCGGTTTGGCTCAATGGAAAGAGCGTCAGCTTGGGGACTGAAGGGACCCGGGTTCAATTCCGGTCAAGGGCATGTACCTTGGTTGTGAGCGCATCCCCAGTGAGGGGTGTGCAAGAGGCAGCTGGTCAATGTTTCTCTCTCATCGACGTTTCTAGGTCTCTATCTCTCTCCCTTCCTCTCTGTAAAAAATCAATAAAATATTAAAAAAAAAAAAAAAAAAAAAAGAATCCTCTGGGGAGCTGGTTCAATAGAAAAGCTGCCATTCTGACTCGGGTGGAGGTGTTCCCCCCCCACACACGCTGAGAAACTCTGCTTCAGACAAGGAGTCCTGTCCCGCAGCCCATACCTGGTCGAAGAAGCCATTGACCATGTCCAAGTGTCCGGAAGGGTAGGTAGCAAAGATGCCAGCGGTCCCGTTGGGGCCCGAGACTATAAGCTGGTTGTCGGCAAAGGCCCAGATGGCATCTGAGGGCAGATGAAACCCCGCGTGGGTGAGGGCAGAGGCCCGGGCCCACCCTCCCAGGGGTCACGGGTAAGTAGAACCACTGCTGTTTGCTCAGGAGCCGGAGGCGGGGAGGTGGGTGGGGTGAGGGCCTGTTGTTGCCCAACTCGTTTATTTCCCCTGTGCCCCGCACCTGGGGCTTGTGCGTGAATGAGTGAGTCATGAGCCGGGGGCCTGGGCAGGCCCCAGCGGTCTGCCATGGGAAGGCCCGATGCCAGCAGGTCCCCAGCGGAAGGAGCGGGCAATGGGGGAGGGCAATGCTTACCATAGTACAGCCCGAACACGATCCCAGCGCCCAGGAAGGCTCCCAGGGTCTGGGCCAGGGTGTAGATGGGCAGCTTGATCCAGGGCTCTCTCGCCAGGAAGCACATGGCAAAGGTCACCGCAGGGTTCAGGTGGGCCCCTGCACAGATGGGAAACGGGACCCATTGGCCATCTCCTGCCACCGTGGGGGGGCCAGGATTCCACACCACCTCCATGCTCCCCGTCTCTGGCCCGGGGAGCAGGGGTGCAGAGAAGGGTTTCTTGTGCCAGATGGCGGATTGGGTTGTGGAACAGGCCAACGCTGCTCCTCTCCGATCCCAAGGTGAGAGTCAGAGTCTAAGTTACTGAGTTCCTTCTCCACTGCCCTCTTCCCAGGGCTCAGAGCCCAGGTCACCGCTCTGCCCTGCCCTTGGGAATGTCCCCCCACCCCGTCCCCACTGGGACTCCCCCAGGAGAATGCTCTGAGGGTGGAACAAGGCCTCACCGGAGACCTGGCCAGCGATGAGGATGCCCAGGGTGACGGCAAAGCCAAAGGCCAGGTTGATGGTAAGGAAACCGCCGTGGGTGCCCCGGCTGAGCACAACCTGGGCCACGGAGCCGCAGCCGAACATCTGTGTCGGGAAACAGAAGAGGCAGGAGGGTGAGGCCCGGCGGAGGGGAGGGTGAAGCCAACAACCTCTGCCTGCCCCATCCCGAGGCTGGAAGGCCGGGCCTGGGCTTCAGCCGAAACCCCTCCTGCTGCCGCTGCACTCTGAGAGGCAAATGTGCCCTCCCACCCGCGAGGCCCCAACTCCACAGAACAGGTCCCCGTGGGAGCAGAGCCTGCGGCTGGGAGCCCTAACGATGGCTGGCCATCTTCACTGATTTTTCTTGAAGCTCAACAGGAGTGGGTGGAGGGCAACAGTTTTCATCTTAGCAGTTTCTCCCAGCTCTTCACTCACTCACCCCACCCCCTGCATTGCCTCCCTTTTTGCCCCAAGGAAGAGCTAGGTGGTGGTTGTTGTTGATGATGGTGGTGGTGATGGTGGTGATGGAGATGGGCAGAGTGGGGGGGGGGGGGGAGGGGTAAAGAAATAAGGAGGAGGCCAAAAGTTAGGTTGAATCCACCTCTCCTGAATCTGGGTTGTCAGAGCCCCTGCCCATGCCCCTGGCTCCCCTCAGCCCCTGTCAACACCCTCGCCCTCCTTGGCCTGTCCCTGTCCCAGAGCCCCCTCTCTCCATCAGCCCTGACTTTCTGGCCCCAGTGGCCAGCCCTCCCCCACTCCCCGCCAGATGTGGAGGTCCTACAGACAATAGGCGGCTCCTCTCGCTAACCCTAGTCCAAGCCCCTGGCAGGGAGCGGGGGAGATCAGTTCTAAGCTCTCTGCCAGGGATGGGGGGATCCAAGAGGACTAAAGTCCGACAAGGACAGAGTGTACTGCTTCCCTTGTTCAGACATATAAATGCTTCTGCTCCAGTTGTAAAGAGCTATTGCCCCGAGCTCCTGGAGTATCCCCCAAAGCTGCCCCAGCCCCTGCCCAGGTCTCCTCTCTCACCTTCCTGTAACTAAAGGTCTGATATCTGCCCAGCAGGCAATTTCCGAGACCCGTGCTAAGGGTCCTTGTCCATTTGGATGGGTCATTGCCCTGCTGTACGGGGTTGTTAAGCATTCTCTTTATCACCCCTCAGAAAGATGAAGAGATAGTGGGGAAGCCAGCAGCCCAGGTGATGCAGGGCAAAGGTGTGCCAGCAGGTGCAGGCAGAGATCCGAGGTGATGAGTGTGTGGGGGCAGGAGGACTGGCAGGCCTGTGTGGGTCTGGGGAACCTGCTGCACTTGGCAGGCTCTGCTCTCAGTTCCTCGCCCGCCTGAAGGCCAACCCTGGCTCCATCCCAGGAGGCCTTGGAGTGAGAAGCTGTCAGAGCCAGTTCTACCACCTTGGAGCTAATCTTCCTCTTCCTCACCCTCCCTCTCCCCGGTGCCCCCTCCTTACTGGGTACCCCAGAGGAACGGGCTTTCCTTGCCCTGAAGCCCATTCTGATTCCACCACTGCAGGCTCTAGGCCCCCCACCTTCAGAGGTGCAGGCAGGCAAGCCCTCACCCGCCTCTCAGGGGTCTTCCACGCCTGGCTCCTTCTCTGCCGGCTGCCTGCCCTGGGGTGCTGCTTTTCACTGACACCCAATGCCTCGCTCACCTGAGCCTGAAGCCCTCCTTCCTGGGCTCAGCCCTAGGCCTGACTGCGTCTTCTGGGGAGGTGAACTGAGACTTGGGAGAGGTGGGGAGGCCCCTCTGTGAACGTGGAAAACAATGATCCCTGTCCTGGCTGTTCTCAAGGCGGGGGGTATGGGGGGGGTGGGAGAATGACAGGCACCTGCTCCAGGCATCTTGGCACAGGGGAGAGAGGGTATGGGGATGACTGGTAGGTCTTCTGAGGGGCTGTGGATAAGGTGCCCCCTGGTTTCCTTGCCCCCCTTCCTGTTTCCAGAGGTGAGTCTCTCCTCTTCCATCACCATCACCCATTGGGGGTGGCCACGCCAGCCCTCCCTGCCTGCAGGGGCTGGCAGGTCTGCATGACCTGAGGCTGGGGCTGGAGCTGGGGCAGGAATGGAGGAGTAGCCACCTACCCACTACAATGGAGCAACTCAACCCAGAGGCAACCTGCGGGGAAAACATGTAACCACCAAGGAGCGGCCGGCAACGAGAAACTGGGACGGGAAATGGGGTCTCTTCACTGCTGTGTCTGCCAGACCCCCTCCCCCCCCCAAAAAAAAAATGCAAACAGAATCACCCAGGAACAACCCAGGGCCGAAACTGTGTGACCAGGGAGTAACCGGGCCCGGGGAGGAACCCAGGCAGGGGCGGTGTCCACTCCGGGAGCCCAGAGAGTAGCTCAGAGCCAGGGTCTGGGAGCAGCTCCACAGGAGGGGAGCAACGGCAGGGACACGGCTTCCTCCGGCTGGGCCCCGCGGCCGCCCACAGCCCCCTATCTGCCCGAGCCTGCCTTCCTCTCCTCTCCGCTCCTCTGCCGTGTGCACCCTGCGGGCCTCCGCCCTCTGCCCCAGCCCGCGGCCAACTGTCCTCATGGGAACTTTTGGACTTTCTGAGGCTTAATTATTCATTAGGGACCAGATATCAGAAGCCAAATAGCCTACTAGGGGCCCATCTGCCGCTGCCCCGACGGTGTCCTGGGCTGGGGCTCTGAGACCTTGGGGAGCCTTAGAAGCCTTGAGAAAGGGCTGGAGGTCCCAGCGGGTGGGCTGGGTCCCTGGGCAGTGACCGCCCTCATAGATGGGGTCACAGCTGGGGGGCGGGGGGGAGGGAGAGAGGCCTCTCTGGGAGAGGTCAACCTGGGGATCCGAGCTGGGAGAAGGCTCGGGGCTGTCTGGGAAAGCTCAGCTCTGGGATGAGCAGGGTTAGGGCGCGTAGAGGCGGGGACAGAGGGGGATTCCCTAGGTCCCCTCACTCACCACCAGGATGAGGGTTCCCAGGCACTCGGCCAGCGCCTGGCGGAGCAGCCGGTAGCGGATGTGGAGCATCTCCCCGCAGCGGTTCACCAGCTCCTTCTGTCGACCCATGGCGGGGCAGTTAGCGGCGGCGGGCAGGTGGCAGCGGAGCAGGGAGGCGGCGGGCTGGGCGCTGTGCCCGGAGCGGCGGCTGGCGCCCTTTATAGCAGCGGGAGGGCAGGTCCCGCCCGCCCCGCGCCCGCCCCGCCCGCCAGCCCGCCCGCCCGGCAGCTAGGAGGGGGCGGCCCCCCGCACCTTGCCTGGGCGGCTGGGGGGGATGCGGGGTTGGGGGGAGGGGGGGATGCGGGGTTGGGGGAGCTCATGAGGACGGTGGAGGAACATGGGGTGTGAGGGACCTTAGGAGTGAGGCTGGCCTGGGGAGCATTGGGGGAGGATGTATAATATGTGTCTTGGAGGCCATGGTGGGGTGGATACAGGCACGTGCAGGACGTGGCTGGGGAGAATGGAGCTGCCAGGGAGACTGCCTTGGCCCCCCTGACCCCTGGAACTTTTTTTTATATATATATATTTTATTGATGTTTTACAGAGAGGAAGGGAGAGGGCTAGAGTGTTAGAAACATCGATGAGAAAGAAACATCGATCGGCCGCCTCCTGCCCACCCCCCCACCGGGGATGTGCCCGCAACCAAGGTACTTGGCCTTGACCGGAATCATCGAACCCGGGACCTTTTAGTCCGCAGGCTGATGCTCTATCCGGTTTCGGCCCTGACCCCGAGCTTTGCTGTCCTCCCCGCCGTGGTGGGGGTGAGAGGAGACATGTCAGGAAGATCTACAGGACGGCGGGCCCAGCATGTCCTCCCTCAGCCAGGGGGCTGGCGGGAGGTTCCCTCTCAGAGACCCGACGCAGGCGCACACACAGAGCAGTGCGGAGCTCCAGCCAGAGTGCGCGGGCCTTTGCTCCTTCTGCTGGGAGCGCTTCATACGTTGTATGACCCTCTGTGTCTACACAGGACATCTGTCTTGTGTGCCTGATCACTCTCGATGGGCATTTCTCACAGCTGTGTACATCCTGTCTGCTCTGGCTGAGCTAGCTGAGGCAGCCACACATGTACCTGAGTGCATTCTGCACATGGCTCCAGAGCCCGAACAGAAGCTGTCCTGACATGTCACATGCCACATATTTGCCCGAAGAGTATGTTCCAGCTGGGTTTGTTTTCCTTAATTTTTTTTGTTACTCGTCACCCGAGGATTTTTTTTTTTTTTTTTTTTTTTTTTTTTTTTTTTTTTGAGAGAGAGAGAGAATGGAAGGGAGGGGGAGAGACAGAGAGAAACATCGATGTGTCAGACTGGTTGCTTCCCGACCGGGGCAGGGATTGAGCCTACAATCAAAGTAGGTGCCATTGACCGAAATTGAACCCGCAACCTTTCAGTCCTCCAGCTGACGCTCTAACCACTGAGAGCACCCAGCGAGGGGCCAGCTGTTTTTAACTGTCCCCCCTCCCACTCTGGTTGATCCTGTCCAAAGAGAGTGTCCTTTTAAGATATTAAATTGCCGCGCTAATCAGTTTGACTCAGTGGATAGAGTGTCAGCCTGTGGACTCAAGGGTCCCAGGTTCAATTCTGGTCAAGGGCACATACCTTGGTTGCGGGCACATCCCCAGTAGGCAGTGTGCAGGAGGCAGCTGATCGATGTTTCTAACTCTCTCTCCCTCTCCCTTCCTCCCTGTAAAAAAATCAATAAAACATACTTTTAAAAAAATAAAATAAAATAAAAAAATAAAACATACTTAAAAAAAAAAAAAAGATTAAAGTGCCTAAACTGTTGGGGAGTCAGCCCCATCTGAGGAGTGGGTGTTGTTCAGTAATTAGCAATCTGGGGTTTGCTGGCCTGGGCCCAACTCCCACAAGACTGGTCCCTTTCCCAGCACTGCCAGGGGAGACCAAAGTAATCACTTTTGCCCGATGAACTTAATCCAAGTGGGCTAAGGGCCTTGGGGACTCGTCCCTTGAGAAATGGCTGTCAGAAATAAAGGTTCCAAAGGTGACTAAAGCCCAAAGAGATAGGGTTTAGCAATGCATATCAGGTACATTTACACACGTGTACCCACATGTGTGCGAGCACGCACACACACACATACCCACCCACACCCTGAGGCTGACAGCCACACAGCCTATGGACACTGAGCTCTGGTCACATGCTCAAGCGGTCCCAATTACATGAGAACCTGGTCATATGTATGGAACCCACATGCAACACCTCTCATAACCTTGGCTCAGAGAGAGGCACCCCACCCTCTGGGCCCCCATGGGCTGGGAGGTCCCATGGTGAATCAGGGAGCCATCACTGAGCATCTGCCCACAGCCCCGCTGCCAGTGTGTGACTCAGGATGGAACCCGAGACTCCTGGTGCCAGGGCCCAGATTGGGAAGGGGGGACGTGCTGCCCTCTCTTCTCCCTGCCTCACATGCACTTCTCAGCTCCTCGCTGCCTCGGGGAGGGGGTGGGCAGGGTACAAAGGCAGCCTAGGTGGGAACAGGCAAGGGAGTCCTCAACAGTGAGCAGAAGTGGAGAACCCCAGCCCAGAGCACCTTCTCCTGAGCCTGTCAGCCTGGCCTGGGGCCCAGAGCAGGGGAGAGGAGCAGGGGCAGCTGCCACCAGCAGACACACACCAGGTTCCTGTACACAGTTTGCACTCAGCTCACACAGGTGTTCCCATGTGCTGCAGGGGAGGGCCGATCGCACATGCAGCCAAGGATGTGCATATTTTGTTCACATTAAGCGGCATTTATTAACACGTGTGCACATATATGTACGCACATGTGAGTGGAGGTATGTACGTGCCCACCACCTATAATCTGAGGCTACCGTTCACCACAGAGCACCTTTGCCACCCCCTCTAGTGGATGCAGCTCCATGCCAAGGCACATGGTTTGTCCCCATACACTCCCACCAAACTCATGCCTCTCTGTGACTGGTGGTTACATGCATGTTCATATACGTGCATACACATGCACACTGGTATGTGTTGGGGTTGGAGCTGAGAAGGTATGGGTAGGGCTTCCTACTTCCTAATGGGCCTGAGAGGGCCCTGCCTGGGGGAGGGGGAGGGGAAGGATGCAGTGCCCTGTGAGGATCCCTTGTCCCTGTCACCTCTCCTGAGGTCACTTGGGACTAAGAGGGGTCAGGGCCGGAGGGCGTCAGTCCATAAACGCTGGGCCAGTGCAGTCCACGTGCATGGCGCCCCCTGGCTGACACGGCAGAAGGAAGCCCGGCTTCACAGAGAAGAGAGTGAGTCTGGCGAGGCCCTGGCTGAGTCACACAGGGCTCAGGGCTCCCTGTCGCGCTTTGGAAAGGAAAGCCAAGGCCGAGCAAGCGAGCGCAGGCTGGAACCCAGCCCACCTGGGAGCTCCTGGGGGCGGCTCCATCTTGGGCAAGGTCTGTGTCTCACCTGGGTGGAAGGGCTGAGCTCACGAAGGGGCCTTGACCCATCCCCCCGTGGGAGGCCGTGACTCCTTGCGGTCAGAGCTGGGGGAGTGGGTTCCCGGTCCAGGGAAGGGCTGAAGATGCAAGTCCCAGCGTGCTGAATCAGAGGGGTTGGCTGGGGCCCTGAAAGGAGTGGGGTGTGGAACGCCCTTCATTTCCTGCCCCCAAAACGGTTTTTGCCTGAATGGGTACAGCCTGAAACAGCAGAAGGGACATGGGCTTTGCAGTCAGCAAGTGGGGTGGAGAAGAGCAGCGACATAGAAAATGAATAATGCTACAATCCCCCGCCCCCAGCCTCCCTGACCCCCCCTAACCTCTTCCAGAGCATTGGAGCAGGTGATGGAGGAGCAGACCAAAACAGACATAGGCATTTCTAATTTATTTTTATTTACTTACTTAGTTATCCTCATCCAAGGATATATTCTCCACTGATTTTTAGAGACAGAGTGGAAGGGATGGGGAGAGACACACAGAGAGAAACATGGATGTGAGAGAGACATTGATCAGAGATATGTGACCTTGACCAGAAGCGAACCTTCAACCCTTCAGTTGTGGGCTGACACTCTGACTACTGAGCCAAACCAGCCAGGGCCACGTTTTCAATTTTATTTATTTTTTTTTAATGCCTAAAGAAAGTTGTCATCTTTAAAAAAAAAAAAAAATATATATATATATATATATATATATATATATATATATATATATATTTTATTGATTTTGTACAGAGAGGAAGGGAGAGAGATAGAGAGTTAGAAACATCGATGAGAGTCATCAATCAGCTGCCTCTTGCACACCCCCTACTGGGGATATGCCTGCAACCAAGGTACATGCCCCTGACCAGAATCGAACCCGGGGCCTTTCAGTCCCCAAGCCGATGCTCTATCCATTGAGCCAAACCGGTTTCGGCTTAAAATATATTTTATTGATTTTTTACAGAGAGAAAGGGAGAAAGATAGAAAGCTAGAAACATTGATAAGAGAGAAACACTGGTCAGCTGCCTCCTGCACACCCCCCACAGGGAATGCGCCTGCAACCAAGGTACATGCCCTTGACTGGAATCGAACCTGGGACCCGATGCTCTATCCACTGAGCCAAACCAGTTTTGGTGCATTTTCCATTTTAGGATATATTTCCTCCCATGTACAAAACAATCCCCAGAAGTGGGAATACTTTTCCCTTTTCACAAATGCCAAAACTGAAGTTTGGAGAGAAGTCACTTGCTAAAGTCTCATTTGGCCACTGAGTATTGAGCTTGGGAGTCAGACCCCATGAGGACAGGGAGAGGAAATGGAAAGGACAGAGACCGGGGAGCCACAGGAAGTCCCTTCGCGCGTGAGCCCCCTTTCTAGAGGGCGCACCCCTCACAGGCCACTGCTGGGCTCCCTTCCGTTCCTGGGCCTTGGGAGCCGGGGTAGCTGCAGGCTGGCTTGGGGAGTGGAGAGCAGAGATGAATCACTGCATTATGAGCGTCTCCAGACTGGGGGGCGGGCAAGCATCTCCTCCCCCTGCGCCAACAGTCACCCCCTGTCTGCAGACAGACAGACGAGGTGGCAGGGAACCTGTGGATGGGAACTGCCCCCTCAGGCACCTCCAGCCCCAATGAGCATCTGGACCTTGAGAAAAAATTTC